AATTATCTGGAGCCCTGCCAACATGTCAAGTTGATATAAAAGCAAGAAGTGATGAAGATCTTTGATGTTCAAACATTGGTGAATCCAACAAAAGAGAATAACAATGGACATTTTAGTAAAAGCCTAAAACTGTAAATGTGTGAGAATATTGTTTATAAATCTTCATGATTACCTACACAATGTGTTTGTACGTAAACAAACAAAAAGTAAATCATTTTGTCATGAGTAAAATAAGTAAAAGAGAATTAATGTTTACAAGCATAAATGCATATATTTTGTATGTAAATGTATATTTCTGATGACAGGAAAAATGGATAACAAGAATACAAAACGAACCTGACATTATGAAACCTAGTTCATTTGAATAAACTCGTATTCCAGCCAAGGTCGAGCACACCTTGGTATAGTGCAAAGTCGGCTAGTTATATGCTGGACTATATGAAACCGGAATTCATGTCCAGTTTAATATTTCACCTGTTGTTTTCAAGCCATAGGCGATTTGGGTAATCGAGAAGAATGCTGTTCCACATTAACAGATTGATAGGTGTGACTGTCAGTACCAAAGATATAAACATGGAAAATGATATCGCCATGATCTGTCATACAGACCCAAACACAAACATATCCAAGAAAGCCCATGCAAGTTTAGATTATGTAGCAAGTCTTGATGTCCACAGTTTCTGAATATGAAGAAAGTCTGTGGGCTCCTTTTAGGAGATAAACGTCATGTGTTGGCCAATTTCCGGGTGTTATTGAGTACTTGAAGCGCGGGAATTCATTTGGAACTGACGGCGGTATTTTAGGTGGGTTTTTTGTATTATGAACTGTCTTGTTTAGTCTCATAGCTCCTTTTCATTATATTTTATTTTTTTCATTATGAACTGTTTTTTTCTGTAAAGTATGTTCATTTCAGAGACTAGTTGTTAACCTATATCGCCCTTACACTGTTTACACGTGTTAACCTCGGTTATGCCAGAAGAACTGAACGCTCAGAACCGAAGTGTCAAACTGTTATCCGTTTTGAAAGCAATTTAGACCCTGCCTCTACAGTGTTTGCCGATCGAGCAGGGAATGTTGCACTACATCGTTTGATGTAGAACTTCATGTACATATCAACCTGACATACCTGTAAACTGGACGAAACCAACCGACAATAACATTCAGAGATATGATCCAATGCCACCGAAGCAGCGGTTCGCCAATTTTTAGCTAAGGGAGGTCACTCTACTTTAACAACAGTTTACTTCATTTCATTCGGAAATTCTCGGGTATTCCGATAGTGGTGTTCACAGCGCCAGGACGAACCGCAGAGGTTTTCCAAACAGGTCACCTCTACAGAACGCCATAGTCCTGTATATGTTTTTGTATTTAATTGGTTTTGTTCTGTTTTTTTTTTGTTGTTGCTTATTTTGTTGTTGCTTTTATTTATTTATTTATTTATTTTGTTTTTTGGGGGTGGGGGTTGTTTCAGAAGTTTTGGTGTTTTATCGATATTGAACTTACTGCGTACTTTATATATTGCTACATACAATAATTTTATGTTCATGCACACGAGGCATGTACATGAGTGAGTGAGTGAGTGAGTTTATGTTTACGCCGCACTCAGTAATATTCCAGCTACATGGCGGCGGTCTTTAATAATCGAGCCTGGACCAGCCAATCCAGTGATCAACACCATGAGCATCGATCTATGCAATTGGGATGCGATGACGTGTGTCAACCAAGTCAGCGAGCCTGACTATCCGATCCCGTTAGTCGCCTCCTACGACAAACATGGGCTACTGAAGATCAATTCTTACCCGGATCTTCACGAGTCACATGTACATGAAATGATAATAAAATAATAAGTAGATGACACACTAGAGCCTAGAGGCACCATCCCTCTCTCTGAGATGTTTGTTTTGAAAAGGTTGATTTACACATGCAAATAGGTCATACAGACACTGGGTGGTGGGGTAGCCCAGTGGTTAGAGTGAGTGAGGTATTACGTTGCTTTTACGCCGCTTTTAGCAATATTCCAGCAATATCACGGCGGGGACACCAGAAATGGGCTTCTGACACATTGTACCCATGTGGGGCTAATCGATCCTTTAGCCACTAGGCTATCATGATATTACAGTAATATTGCTAAGAGCGGCGTAAAAATATACTCACTCACATGGGCGTTGGAGGAACTTATCATGAATTACAATGACAAGGCATTTCGCATTGGCGACAGAGCAGTTACCATGTATAAAAATGAAATCACCGTATTCAGATATTTTGATGAAATGATAGGACACTTTGATTAGTGAAATGGATTAAAACATTAAAAAATATGTTTTGCAGAAAAAACACACAGAGAAATATGATGCTCGTTAAATAAAAAACAGAAAGTCAAACAGAAAAATTGATGTCATTAGGATTTAAAATCAACACATATATATTTGGTTTAATGTTTCCACTATAGACGACATAATAATGCGTAGATTAGTTAATATACGTTTGAATTGAACCGTTGGATGTGTTGGGGCCCAGTGTTGCAGCAAGGGAGAATGCATCCCTTTTCTCGAGCACGGTACTTCTACGATTGTGTAACGGGAACACTCCGACGGATAAATTTGAACTATGTCGGTGTCTTATCACAGCATTGGTCACAAAGAGGTAATACTCCCTTATCAACAACATTTGTGTAGGCATTACGTGGCCAGTGACCAAGACAAAGTCTAAAAAAAAATAGTCAAAACAACTTCATCACGTTTCTCACGACAAGATCACAGATGATGTGGAGTCATTTCTGTTCGACAAGCTTTCCAAGACAATATCATCTTGGAGTTATTTCCCTTTGTTGGTCGTCTGTTCGTCAGCTCGACAAGCTTTCCCGTGACAATGTCTTTCAAACACGGCAAAATGCATCACATTCACTTGAAATACATACATTTTTTTTCAATTTGATGTTGTGGTGTGTATGTAACATGCATGGTATTATACCATACAGTAGACCCCAGGTCGTCTGGTCTGATATGAGGGTCACCGGTTGATTTTGGGCATGAAATGAAAACTGCCATTTACTACTAACCTAGGTAAAGTATACAGATTCGCTGACTCGATATTTCTGAGTCGATATCTCTGTCGTTGAACAGTTTAAACAATTTTTACAATGATTCCCTTATTAAATGTGTGCACTGAAATATGTCACTTCGTATTTTATATTTTGTACTGCTATGAAGTCCTGTTGGTCATGCAAGGACATTGAAATAAATGAATGTCATAAATACGGTATTTCATGACATTGTTTTAAATTACATTTGTGACGTCATTCCATTGTCTGCTCGCTCCATTACTTTTCAGGAATGGAGCGATGTGTACCAGTTTCAAATTAAAGCCTTCATTTTGACATTTAATTTTGATAACAGAAATGTTCCCAATACTTTGAATGTAATCGAACATAATATTTCATCTCTTTCCATTCCTTAAAATAATGTAATATCTCAAGTCACATCTCCATTCCTTAAAAATAATGTGCCTCGGCTCCATTATTTTTAAGGAATGCAGAGTTACTCCAACATTACCCTCTACGTATTCAGCTCGTTCCTGTTGTCATGTAGGATTTCAGGTTTTGCGAATGGCGCGTGCTACGGGTAGGGCATGCTATCCCTTCCCGCGAACACCTGGTGTCATCACTGAATTTCAGTGATCCATTCATATAATCTTCACATATATTTTCCCGTTACACCAAACGGTATTTGTTTCTGAGTCAAGACTTTGTATTCTTTTGAGTTATAGTTAAAGTAACCGACTAGACGCTGAACCTGATTCCCTGATTCCTTTCAAGAACCACTTATAACCCGCAATCCGCAATCCCAGCGGAACAGTTTCCATGAAAACCACGCAAATATTGCCTCTTTAGCTACTCCTACTGTTTCTATTAAGTCTTACCCATTTCGCAGTCTAACAAGGTGTACAAGTGACAACATTTTGCAATGTAAGTTCCAATTCACACTCTGACAATACAGACTGATCATTGCTGCCAGAGGCACTGGTGAATATTTTAGAGTAAAGTTTGGGTTGAATACATCAGTAAAACGCTTTGAGCAATCAACTGTGAGTGAGTTTAGTTTTACGTCGCACTCAGCAATATTCCAGCTATATGGCGTCGGTCTGTAAATAATCGAGTCTGGACCAGACAATCCAGTGATCAACAGCATGAGCATCGATCTGCGCAATTGGGAACCGATGACATGTGTCAACCAAGCCAGCGAGCCTGACCACCCGATACGGCTGCAATCAATAAATTCAATGCAATTTAAACGAGTGCAGATTCAACACGCTTTTATGTACGCGTCGTGGGAATTTGTTTGCATCGTTGTAAGCAGTCACAGGTTTCGAGGATTTCTTAGTGACAGATTCATTCGTAATATCTTTATATCTGTTGGACCCTTACTGCAGTAATAACTTGGAAATAACGCCAGAAGAGCGACAGTTTTCAAATTTGCACTGGACGTAAAAAGCTGATTGTATGTGTCTTCACGTTAATAGGTCGGACATGACTTCGTGTGCAACACTTCATCAAAATATCCAACATGTTATGCCCCAAAGTCGAGTAATGAACAACCCACCACCAACTACCAGGAGGTCTGGTACCACAGATTATACCGCGGACAAGTCGCATCTGCCGATGCAGTTACTGGGTTGACGCAACTTGACTGGTGCGCTAATATCTTAATAGTCATGACAGAATGTCGTAATTCGCAAGTCCTAGACATGTGTAGTAGGTATATTTTTGTGTTAATTACGCTACTGCTGCGTCATTACTTTTGGACTTGCCAAGGAATGGTGCTCCGGACGAGCTGTCGATATTCTAACACTAACGTCTTCATAGATGGTATTCAGTGAAAAATAGTTATGATCTGTTGAAATACCATGAAAATATTGCTGAGGTTAATCAGAACAGAAGAAAAGCTGATGATCAGAGGGCATGTTGGATGTCCTGAATATTACGGTCCCTACAAACATATATGATGAACATTGTATGGTTTCTGGCGACCAACACGCGGCACCAAGTAACAGTGACTCTGTCGTCGACGGACGAGTGTATTATCATCAAGATTCCTCGGTGTCGGGAAGATACTGTAAATAACGACCTCCCCATTGACATCACACGCCCTGATAAGGATCCATACAGTCCACGTCAAGCCTCAGTGTCTCTCGGCTTCAACGCCAACGCAGTTGGCAGCAACATGACCACCACCGGCTTGTTGGCGGTACTTCTGCTGACCATTGCTCCGTGTGCAGTGGACAGTAATTGCACAGCAGGTATAGATGAGTGTGACTGGTATCCGTGGGCATCGTGGGGAGGCTGCACCGAGACATGTGGCGGGAATGGTCGCCAGACCAGGAACAGGGGCATCTGCTGCGAGGCTGATCTGGAGTATGCAGAGTGCGTCACGAAATGTAAGGTGCCCTACTCGGATGGACAAATGAGTCAAGACTGTGGGGCAACTTGCTTCAATGGTGGAACCTTTGATGGCATGATCTGCATGTGCGCCGGTGGTTTTAACGGAAAGTGTTGCGAAAACGGTAAGTATTTAACATCAGTGAGTGAATCTAGTTTTACGCCGCATTCAGCCGCACTCGCCGAATATTCCAGCTATATGGCGTCGGTCTGTAAACAATCGAGTCTGGGCCAGACTCAAGTGATCAACAGCATGAGCATAGATCTACGATGACATGTCTTGACCAAGTCAGCGAGCCTGACCACCCGATCTCGATAGTCGCCTATTACAAAAAGCATGGGTTACTGAAGATCAATTCTAACCCGGACGTTTATCATACATATCCGGGCTACAACTGATTCTAAGCATGTTTCGCAAGTGGACACTAACGATCGGTTGGTCAGACTCCGATAGTCAATGCATGGCACAATATCCGAACGGCATAGTTAGATGCTCATTATGTCAGTCACATGTTGGTATTGTCGAGACACGAATATTGACGGTCTGTCGCCATACAGTTTTAATATTGCTTGGTACGGCGTCAATGACACACGTGATCTGTAACTGTGGCACTATTCAATTTGGCCAACCAGGGTTTAGACATCAGTTGTGAATGTAATTCTAAACCGATAGAGCCACTTGTATATGTAGCTACTCTCGAGTTAATTGGACAAACTAAAGAAAGTTCCTTGTAAAGTGAAACTGGTACGTTGTGTAGAAAATTAGAAGTTATAATGATATAGGATCATGAAAAAAACTATCTGAAAGTAGTCGTTAATATGACTTTCACTTTTCATATATGACATATTAGTACGAAATGACACCATAGATTTAGCCAGGTCGCCTTTTCATCATTCGGGGAAATAATTACGTGTATCTTCAGTTGCGTCCAACGGCCATGGGAACGCCAGACACTGTTGATTATTGTTTCGAATCCCGGGTCCACGCGATTATGTTTCCAAATTTGTTAGTACCATATCCGTGCTCGTGGGTTTCACTTAAGGTGTAAATGTCTAACACCTGCGTCACTTCAGGTTGTCCTCCTGAAGCTGTGACACATCTCGGCTGCTGTTAAAAGTGGCGTAGAACCAAGTTCACTTATTAACTATAGATATACGTTGTCAAGATTCTGTTGAGGGGCGGTGAGGTAGGCTAGTGGTTAAAGCTTTCGCTCGTCAAGCGGGTTCAATGCCCCACATGGGTGTAATGTGTGAAACCCATTTCTGAGTGAGTGAGTGAGTTAAAATTTACAGTCACATCGGCAATATTGCAGCCATATCGTGACGAGGATTTGAATAATAAACAAAGTCGCAATAATTTAGGTCAAGTTATAAAACCCCGTCAACGACGGACAGTAAAATAACTAGAGGATCACAGATATAGAGACCATGGGGACTTACAGTACATTCCTGCATGGACACAAGCTGGATTTGCACCATCCCTTCAGCCGTTAGCAATTCAGTCAAATCTAGCCATACATTAAAATGACACACATTCTAAGGTGGTAAGAATAAATTTACCTTGAATGTTTCGGGACTTACGTACCCTCTCAGGAGGACAATAATTTTACAGTAAAGCCCATTTCTGGTCTTCACCGCCGTGTTTTGCGGTGAAAACTAAACTCAGTCACTCAAGATTCTGTTGATACCGTTGTGCGCGGTGGGCGAGCTGGCAAATGGGCCAGGGTAGTGATCCAGGGAGCTTGAGGTGGCGGGATCGAGCCCACCTGTAACCGGGTGTAAAAACCTTGGAGTCAACTTTGTGTGCAGACTCTTTCAGTGTTGTCACAACCCCTAGTGTACAGTACACAACCCTGTGCACTGAAAAGAACCCACGAATCCGCTGGTATATGACCAGATGGTGGCCACATGAATACGTGCAAACACCTAGTTGCGGGTACAGCAACGAGTAGTGTACTTGGACAAAATACTGTGACAATTTGTCCCAGTCCACCCAGCTGTGAATGGGTACCTCGTTAGGATGAGAAAACTACAACAGCTCGGTGCGCCTAGTGGCTGCAAGTGTTGCATACTCCAGAGGGAGTTGAGATTAATAACACGATGTGCCGTTGAGATTGACATCCAATGATCGAGGGAAGAAATACCAGCGCCTTGAGCAAGCACTAGTTGCCTAGATATGTGCGCTATATAAATACGTATAATAATAATTAAAGTTTCGTGTTGGCCAAGTCATTTAAACCACCTTAAGTCCGTGTCCTGTGCACAGTTGCATCCCCGAGAGATACCAAAAACCTGTGATTACAAGTTCGAATCCTATATTCTTCCTAATCGTTCGTAAGCTCCATTGCAATACAAAAATGCTAATGTCTGACTGCACAAAGAACGCTTGTTTGTTTGTTTTTTAAATGAAGTGTCAGTTAATATGTTTTCGGTGTTTACCACAGTGGTAACCTCATCAACAACATCGACAACAACAACAACCACTCAGCTTCCAGTTCCGGAAAGAGGTATTATGTACTGTTATAGATACTGTTAAATACATGTTGGGGATTTTTCATTTTGGGGTGATATTCTTAAAACTACGTTGTGTGATTGTATGCGGATTTAGAAAATGATTATGCAATTCACAGTGTTATGAATTTCGTGCAATCGTTTTTCATCATGTGTACCTGATCTTGGTTGGGGGCAAATTTAAAATTTGCAGTGAAGCTTGTCAGTGTTTTGCTGTATATGCCAGTGATGAAAAACAGACAGAAAGTATGTTATTGTCATAAACTCCGTTAGACGTTTCATTTTACACTCTTTCGCACAAAGAAATCTGCGTGTAATTGGAATCATCCAAGGCACGTTATTCCAGTGTCCCCACTAAGGTAAAGTCCGGGCTGGTTTTTGGTCGTAGGTCTCTTTCCATCACCTTCCTGACATGTTCAAGATGGGAAAGATCTCGAGAAACAGGCGTCACAGCACGTCTTGCATTGAATCAAATGACATACCATTGGGCGGGTAAAGCAGTGTAAAGTCCTCAGCCTTGCCACAAATTGGTCGCACCATGGAATTGTCCTAGCTGTTAATGTAGTTCATAAAGCAGTTTGGCCCGAGCATGGCCCGAGCAAGACCCGAGCATGCCATGCCCCAACGGAATGTGGTTGTCTCATTGATGCAACAAGATACAAGGTGTATTCATAATTTTTGAACCATTTCCTTTTCATGAACTTTAAATGAACAGCGGTAACACACACACACACACACACACACACACACACTCTCTCTCTCTCTCTCTCTCTCTCTCTCTCTCTCTCTCTCTCTCTCTCTCTCTCTCTCTCTCTCTCTTCAAAATTACATATAAAATGACCACTATGGCTCTGACAGGTACGGTCTGCCAGTGTGTCTTTAATCGCATCATTGTGTTCCCTCGGATGTCTGGTTAGGGTAGGTCCAGTCAGCACGCTTTTCGTACGGCGGAGCCAGATGTTAGGAACGATGACGAATAGAATGTCAGCGTCGTTAAACAACATTCTCTCATCATGCCCTGTTTTAGGTTTGATACGTCTATTTATATCTTCAGGAGAACACCACATCGTTAAGTACATACCCTTCCCAATGTCATGTTGGCATGTTGCGTACCTTGGATGTTGAGGTATTTCCAATAATATGCTTCAATATCGTGACAACATTATTTAAAGTATGACTTTTTTCTTGACAGTATGCCAAGATCGCTTTTGGCGTAATGGAATCATCAAAGACGACCATGTTGTTTCCTCATCGAATGATAAAGGGAAAACATCAGCAATGGCCAACTCTGATTGTAAACGTACGTACAAAAGGATGTAATAGACACAAGCTCATATTTCATTAAGACAACATACATATCGTTTAAAAACGAACGTAGTTTCAGATGGTGAGATTGTAATTTAATCTATGTTGAGTTTACATGGAAATAACTAAAATTGTTTTGACCGAATTTGTATTCGAAAATTCCCGAATTATGTTTTGCTTGCAAACACCTGTTATCATCACTGTTTGATAGTGATTCATTAACACACCTACGTACTGAATCCCCTAGAAGTCGCTTGGCCCCTTGCTTTGGACGGAGAACTGAAAAGAAAACGTATCACGCGATAAAACACTTCACCGCCCCTACACTCCCCTTCACCGCCACCAGCATAGTAACCTTACGGTTGTTCCTTAACCATTATCATCGATTAATGTTGACAAAGCACAAACCATCATCCATATGTATGGATACCAAAAATTATGTTTCCAGACAGGCCGTGTGGGTGGTGTCCGGACCCAAATCTTCCCGTCCAAGACCAGTACATCGAGGTGACTTTTGACAAACCTTGGGTGATCCAGGCCATTGAAATACAGCCACCAGAGGGCACTGATCCAACCTCCGTGGTGCGCAACTACATGACAAACTATACCTTCCAATACCAGCCCATAGGGGGAACAAAGCTCGTCACATATGGCACAGAACACTCAGGACCTATAGTAAGAGTATTTTATAAACATCTATAGGGTGAGTGAGGGAGTGGCTTTAGTTTTACGCCGCACTCAGCAATATTCCAGCTATATGGCGGCGGTATGTAAATAATCGAGTCTGGACCAGACAATCCAGTGATCAACAGCATGAGCATCGATCTGCGCAATTAGGAACCGATGACATGTGTCAACCAAGTCAGCGAGCCTGACCACCCGATCCCGTTGGTCGCCTCTTACGACAAGCATGGGTTACTGAAGGTTCATTCTAACCCGGACCTTCACGGGTCACATCTATAGGGCAACATGTTGGTCACATATGTGACAGAGTATTATTGCCTTCTAGGTAGAATGTTTTCTTTACGATCCGAACTGGACAAAGCTCGTTACATATGGGACATCATTTTTGCGCTCTAGTTCGATTTTTTTCTCTACGATCAGAATTAGACAAAGCTCGTCACATATGGGACAGAACATGCTGAACCTGTCGTAAGAACAATTTGAAACGATCTAAGTGGACAAAGTTCTTCACGTAATGAACAGAGCATCCTTGTCCTCTAGTAAGAATATTCAATAATGATCCAAAGGGAACAGGACCGCCTCCGTGGTGTAATGGTTAGAGCGTCCGCCTGGAGAGCGGAAGGTCGTGGGTTCGATGCCCGACCGCGTCATACCAAAAGACGTTTAAATATGGTACTTGTTGGTCCCTGCCTGGCGCTCGGCATTAATGGGTACAACAAGGACTGGTCGGCTAGGAGTCAGTATAATGTGTCTGAGTGGGGTATTCATGCTTCACTGCGGCGTGGTATCCCAGTGGGCTAGCACTATAAAACCAGCTTAAGTCTGGGCTAGTACAAGCAGCCGCACCTACACATACACACGCATGCACGTCGTCATATGAGCGAAATATTCTCAAGCACGACGTTAAACCCAATTTCACCTCACCTCACCTCCAAAGGGAACAAAGCTCATCACACATGTCAAAGAACCATTTGGACCCGAAGTAACACGATTTAGTAACGATCTAAAGGTAGCAAAGTTACATGTAGCAAAGTACCCAATAGAAGTTGTCTTTAGCAACCCATGCTGGCGTAAGAGGCGGCTAACGGGATCGGGTGATCAGACTCATGATTTTGTTGACATCATGGTTGTCATCGCATCCCAATTACGTATATCGATGCTCATGATGTTAATCACTGGATTGTCTGGTCCAGACGCTGTCCAGATTGGTTGCTGCCATACAGCTGGAATATTGTCGAGTACGGCTTTGTACAACAAACAAACATGTAGCAAAGAGCATTCTGGCCCTACAGTAAGAATATTAAGCGACGATCCAAAAAACGAACAGGTATTGAACAGAGCATTCTGGACCAAAAGTAAAAATATAGTTTCGAGTTCAGCACGAAAACAGATTTGAACACGGCTGAGCCATCATGTTATGACATCGTACCCAGGAAAGTATATAACCTCGGAACTGTTCATGGAGTCACAGAACCCTTCTCAACCTTGCCATCCTTGCATCATCCTCGTCATGGGATGAGCAGAGGTGTACGCACTCACCCTCACATCTTAAGAGATAGAGTTATCCAATGATAAGGTGTCTTTTCAAGTCATTTTTAAATGCCATGAGCTTGAGATAAACATGCCTAAATGTATTTCAAATGTTGTTTTAATGATGGTGAGAGTGAAATGTTTGATAATACTTATGATATATCCTTTTTCTGGCAGTACATGCTTGGTGTACGTGGAAACAGTGTCACCGTTGTGTCAACTCTGACTGAGATACAGCGACCGGTGTCAGAGCGCATCCGGATATCAGTGGTCGACGCGGAACATCACGCCTGCTTTAGATTTGAAATCTTCGGTTGTGAAAGTATGTATGACGTATTATGTTATCACTAGCTCGGACATTTTTAACTTCACATATTATTCAAATATTGCAGTAATATCCACTCAGTTAGTTAAGCTTACTTTGTATGTTAAATGTTCATCGTAATTGTATTTGCAAAATTGAACATAAAAACATATTACACATATACATAAACTAAAACTCTCATACGAAATTACAATTCAAATGTCATGTCATTTACCCAAAGCATATTACTATTGCTGCGGCTACTTCTATATCTGCTACTACTACTACTACTACTACTACTACTACTGCTGCTACTACTACTACTACTACTGCTAATACAGTAATTTGAATTTTTATTGCTGTAATAAAAAAAACCAGTTTATTTTCATAAACATTTCAGTTTAACCTTCTAGTCTAACGGGTGTCGGCATCATCATATTGAAAACATTAGCTTAGCTATTAGAAATTGCGACACTGTTGTATCATATAAATCAAATGTGAACCTATTTATATGGAATAAAGAAGTTATTAAGTGCACTTAATCACAATTTATTTAGAATAAATATTTAAAATATGACGCATCATGTCAATGTGGCCATGGATGTGAGAATGTTTTTCATTTCTCCCTTGAATGTCCATTGTATACTACTCAAAGACATAAACTGTTACAATCTTTAGAAAGTATTGTTAAAATTAGAACACTGGTTGGTATTAATCGTATCTTACATGGCAATGCAGGTGTCTCATTTACTGCAAATCAGAATGTTTTCAAATATGTACATATCTATATCTCTCCAACAAAACGTTTTCTCAGTTAACTATATATACATATGCTTATTGGGAGGGGGCTTTTCTATCAATAAACACAATCAATTTTATATTCGATAGGTGTTTTTGACCATTTAATCACAACAAATTAATTAACCTCAAACTTCTAGTTCGAACCTGTTTCTGTCACCCTGCTCAATTATTCCATTATACTCGTAGGTGTACTGTCAATTGGGTGTCTGTCAAATGGGGGTCTGTCAATTGGGAGATAACCGTTCAAATGTGCGAATGTTAAAGGTCACATGCAACGTAAAACACAACTTTGCAGATTCTGATACCTTTCGGTATGGACTTACGAAACAAATCATCCAAAATGCAAATTCAACTTATAAAGTTAAAAAATAACGCGATGAAAAAAACCCGCGCGAAATCGGAGTTCAAACGATTCACTAATTTCCCTCCGACTTTTCGGGGAAAAACTGGTTTCAACAGCTGGGCTGCGCTCATAGCACGTGCGCAGTGAAATAGGTTCGCGCAACTTGGAAGCGGGCTGTCCGGTGAATACTCGGTGAAGGCTTTGGTGTGAGCTATTTTCCTAATGTTTTGTTGATATCTCACAGGCGCGAGCTTTTTATATGTTATGACAGTAAATAAACTGTTTATATAATTTCATTTGTCTATTTCACCACACGTTCTTCTTACCGAGTCACTTTCTCAGTTCGATACTTAAAAGCAATGTCATTATTTGGCGTTGACAGAATGTTTAACTGTGATATAGATATGTCGTTGTCACAGACAAAACTCAATGTCTTGTTTTATTGACACCTGTGTGTCTGCCTGCCTGTCTGCTAATGACAATATTCAATACACAGCTGCTATCACTGACCACATGCAATTTGAACTTAACACCAATCAGGCTATACACCATAAACAAAATGCATTGATTTTTGGCCCGAGTTCGGTCTCTGTCACATTATGTAATTACACAGACAGGCAGGTGTGATACTTGAACACATGACATGTTATGATGTCTGTTGATTGCAAAATGTTATACACAAAAAAATGAGCATGTATTTACAAAACCCAACATCTCTATATATACACACACAATGAGCCGTGAGGGCATCTGCAAATGAACCAGCCGTTACACTTGAGTGCACACCCACCCGCTCTGACTGGGTTCGGTATCCCGGCTGCTTCGTTTCTTGGGAAGTAAACCCAAGTACACAATATTGCACTTTTGATTTGCGATTGTACGCTTATAATTTTGTTGATATGTTTTTTCATAACCAGCAATGTATATTATATGTCATGAATAAGTGATAATTGTGTTTTAATTATGTTTGATTTTTTTGGTTGCATGTGACCTTTAACTTTCGCGATTTGGTAAGCTGTGTTCTGATTGGTCAGTCCAAAAGGTTAACTAACGCGACCTTCTACTAGGTTTTGTTAGACTCAGTATAGCAGTGTAACGAATAATACTGAGCCTAAGTTTACTTAGACTGATACTACCGTTACTGATTCGCTGCAGATTGAACAGAAACATATTTTGAAATTTTCATAAGAAGGCACTGCATGTGGCATGTTCAGAATTGATCTTTAGGTTTTCACTGTGTATCATGTATAGTCGAGCCTCGCTTATCCGGACAAGTTTTCTCACATATTATGTAATATCTGAATCAGAGTATCAGAGATTTCTTATGGGTGTGGACAGGGTTTTTCGCTTTTATTGTTGTAGAAACAATGCTTACGCGATGAAGATTGCGTGACAGTACTGTTGGCGTCCAAGGACGTTTCACAGTGTCTCTTATGCTTTTGTCGGTTCACTTGAAATTGTGTTTAAAATATAAGAACACGTAGAGCTTCAATGTATGCATCGACAACATTAGGGACCGTTCATAATTTATGGCCAGGGGGGTGGGTGTGGGGGTGGGGGTGGTGGTGTGATGATGATTTTTATGGAGAAGCATGTACAATGTGAATGAACCCCCCTAAAATGTATGAACAAAATAAGTGACCCCCTGCATGTCATGTACAAAGTCAATGAAGCCCCCGCTCCCCTTCCCATTATTTCTAAGCATAATTTTAAACATATTTTTATGTACAAAATTGATGACCCCCTAATACGTGTGTACAAAATTGATGAATCCCTAGCTCCCCAGAACAAAATGGGTGACACCCCCCTTAAAATCATCATCATCCCCTTAGCCATAAATTATGAACGGTCCGTTACCGGGAAGTGAAAACAGATTGACGTTCAGGTGTTTGTTTTTGAGAAGACAGAACAAGTTGATACAGTCGCCATGGAAACGATCTAGAGGGGACAAAGTTCTTCCCATATTGAACAGAGTGTTCTTGTCCTCCATTAAGAATATTCAGTGACGATACAAATGTCACTACGTTCGTCACTTTTTGGGGGGCGGTGGGGTAGCCTAGTGGTTAAAGCGTTGGCTCGTCACACCATAGACCCGGGTTCGAATCCCACATGGGTACAATGTGTGAAGCCCATTTCTGGTGTCCCCCGCCGTGATGTTGCTGGAATATTGCTAAAAGCGGCGTAAAAAAACCCTGTCAGTCAGTCAGTCGTCACTTATGGGACACAGCATTCTTGTCTTATAGTAAAAATGTTGAATAACTATCAGAGAGGACAAGGCTCATCGCATATTAGACAGGGCATTCTGAACCAAAAGTAAAAATAATTTGAAACGATCTAAAGGGGACAGACTTCTTCACATAAGCAGTAAGAATATTCAGTAACGACCCAAAAGGAACAAAGTTCATCACACGTGGCAAAGAACCATTTGAGCCAGAAGTAACAAGATTTAGTATCGATCTAGAGGAGTCACATTCAGGCGTTTGTTTTTGAGAAGGCAGAACAAGTTACAGTGGCCATGGAAAGGATCCGACTTACCATTTCGTTGTTTGTTAGTATTTCTGAATAGAGTGATAGAAGAAATGTGTATCTTGAATTTTGTATGCATGCAATTACCAATCTGTTGAGCATTTATACAAATAGCTTTACTTAATCCCCCTCATCCTTTTCAGATCTGTGTGATTGCCAAAATGGGGGTTCATGTATATCTAAGAACACGTGCTTGTGCCCGCCTCCGTACTACGGACCTAACTGCACTTACATACGTACGTAGCCTTTCACCCTATGTGTAAACAACAGTGTAACAACCGCTAATATGAGGTGAGGTGAAATTGGGTTTTACGTCGTGCTTGAGAATATTTCGCTCATATGACTACGTGCATGCGTGTGTATGTGTAGGTGCGGCTGCTTGTACTAGCCCAGACTGAAGCTGGTTTTATAGTGCTAGCCCACTGAGATACCAATGCCGCAGTGAAGCATGAATACCCCACTCAGACACATTATACTGACTCCGAGCCCACCAGTCCTTGTTGTACCCATTAATGCCGAGCGCCAGGCAGGGACCAACAAGTACCATATTTTAACGTCTTTTGGTATGACGCGGTCGGGGATCGAACCCGCGACCTTCCGCTCTCCGGGCGGACGCTCTAACCACTACACCACGGAGGCGGTCCCGCTAATATGAATGAACATGGTGTGTCTATGCACTTTAAAATGCAACATATGTAAGTCCTACTCGATATATGTTAGTGTGGACTGTTAGTGTGGAAAATTTTATTGTATACATTATTTCCATGGCACATGGTACTTTTACAATTTATCTTTCACAATTTCAGATTTGCCTGAAGTCGGAGGTATGTGACAAAGTCCTGTGCCCCTTTTGAGTTCGAGAGTATGGCAAAGTCTTGAAATATCGACACGGTGCAATAATAATGTCCCTGTCGTTAAAGCGCCGTATTTGGCTTTGCAGTGTTGCACCCCTTATTTGTTAAGGATACAATGATCATATCTGAGCTATGACGAGATTATGATCAGTGGTGTTTCCGCACGATATCTGTGCTCGTATTTAGTGGTAAACTAAGATTTAATACAGTTCTTGTTTATTGTCCACGCTGAGGCTAAATCATAAGGCTCTGATTGTTTAACCGGTGCTCAAAACAACACGTGCACACGCATTCCAAAGTGTGCAAGGTCTGGACATACACTGACGACACATCAGACAGATGTGTTTGGAAAGCCCGAAAGGATGCAGATCTAAGACATTTGCCATTTTGATGAACCCACAGGTCGGTAGGATACCGACAAACTGACACAACATAATGACGTCGAAAAGGTAGTACAGCCCACAAGTTTTCTGGCACACCCGAGAAGATCCGTTTAGAATTGATCTTCAGTAACCCATGCTTGTCGTAAGAGGCGACTAAAGGGGTGGACAAGCTCACTGACTTAGTTGACACATGTCATCATATTCCAGATCGATGCTTAAGTTGTTGATCACTGGATTGTCTGGTCTAGACTCGATTATTTACAGACCGCCGCCATATAGCTGGAATATTGCTGAATGCGGCGTAAAACTAAACCCACTCACTCCTGGCACTCCCAAACCATACGCCCTTTAACAATGAATTGAGACGTCGTGAAGAAAGATCCTCTATACTAGTAAAGGATCAAACTCATAATCCTTGTTACCACAGGTTGTCTGAAACCCCTTGGTATGTGGAATAAGAAGATCAAAGACGACCAACTGATTGTGTCCTCCTCGGCCTCTGATCACGGGAAGGAGAAGGCCAGATACATCTGCTGCGCGGGTAGGTACTAGAACGTGGGGGGTTCCAGGTTCGAATAATTTCCCAGTTAACAGTGCTGTCGAAAGATGCGACTTAATGAATCAGGTTATCAGGCTAGGCAGCTTGGTTTTTCGCCTTTCTTCATACTCCGAGGACGGTGGCGAAAGCGTTCACTCGTCACGTTGCAAAACCCGGGTTCGATTCCCCACATGGGTACACTTCTGGTGTTGTTAAAAGCGGGGTAAAACTAAACTCACCCATTGTCTCTTCATACCCCGACGGTTTTAAAAGTTCATGATTATAACACTCACTGGGTTTTTCTTGTCTGGACTTGATTATTTGCAGGCCCATGCCATATAACCAGAATATTGTCGTGTTAACCATCAGAGAAATAGACATCACCGGAACGATTCGGTTTCATCTGAAGTGAAAAATGTCATGTGTTCATATCGTGCAATTTTACATATTGCAACACAGATTTCAGTGACATCGCAGCCTTTCAACGCAAACAATACAAATAAATTGAATAAGATTCCAACCCTCAGTAGAGATAATAGCAAATGACATTTTATGGACAGTATTCTCAGTCAGAAAGCACAAAACAATTCAGACATTTTGTAATTTATGAGGGGCGGTGGGGTGGCCTAATGGTTAGAGCGGCCTAGAACCATAGTCACTCACTCACTCTAATTTATGGATACACAATGCCGTTTAGAAGGTGGTCACGTGACAGGTTATTGTATCAAGACGTGAGCGTTAAGAAAGAATCAGTCTTGATTATCTGCTGAAACAGACAAAACAGCAGCGACAATATTATGAGTGAGTGAGTGAGTTCATATTTATCGTCACGAGAACAATGTCTTATTATATTATAAATACAATCAAAAATTAAAACTCTGCTGTCGAAGAACAAACAAAACTACTACTATATCACAGACATTAAAGGAAAACTAGCACGCTATCATAAAGCGATGTTTTTAAATACAACAATACAATATAAAAATGGGCTATGGGTTGCCAAGAACTGATGGTAGATCACCATGGGGACTTACAGAACCTTTGCTACCTGCATGCATCCCAGCAGGGTTTACATCATCCCCTCAGCTGTTGACAATTTAGACAAAGTTAGCCATTGATTTAAACGAACATATATACTACGATTAAAAATGTAGTTAGATTAAATATACTTAAGACAATATTATGAATGGATCAGAGGAAACCAGTAAGGGCACAATGTGTTAGCGAAAACAAAACCTGTTATGATTACTTAAATATTTCAACAAATGCAAGCAAATATCTTTATCACTTATTTAACACAAAGGCATGTTTTATATATTTTCTCCCTCAGGTGAAACGAATGGCGCTTGGTGTCCTGCTGCCAACGATACCAAGCCTTACTACGAGGTGCGACTTACCAAGCCCCACCTGGTTGCCATGATTATGTTCGAACAGCCTAATGTACAACACTACTGGGAGCTGCCAGATACTTTCATGAAGACCTTCACCTTGCAGTATCACAACATCTACAATGGAGCCATGGAAACCTACGTGGCGGTAGGATGTGTGTCTGAGTGAGTGAATTTAGTTTTACGCCACACTCAGCAATATTCCAGCTATATGGTGGTGGTTTGTAAATAATCGAGTCTGGACCATACAATCCAGTGATCAACAGCATGATCATCGATCTACACAACTGGATGCAAGTGAGTGAGCATGACCACCCGTTAGTTGCCTCTTACGACAAGCATGGGTTACTGAAGATCAATTCTTACCCGGATCTTCACAGGTATGCCTATTGAGAAATGTATACAAAATATTGATAAAATGTACCACTTCAATGTGCATGTACTTTAATAGAAGCACGTGGGAGCCACAGATGTTGTATTGTGAGTTTGAGGTGTATCGTATTCAATGTCAGGGTTTAAATTTCTGCACCCAAGATCCTGTCTCATGTACTTAGAGCTACGTGGGTCATGCCTGTCCTTTGTTACCTATCTGTGGTGCATATGTACAGTGCCATGCCAGTAATATTCGTACGATTCAAAATGGCTTTGGTACCTCCTGATCTCTTGGCGCAGATCAGGAGAGTGCCCGGGTTCTCCACCGGGAGCACAGCCCTTCTGACAGTCTGGGTAATGCAGAAGGCTGCAGTGTTGGGGAGCCTTCATATTCTCCGGAAAGTTCTTGGTGGGTTCGACTAGGCAGTGTTTTCTGGGAGAAGTCCCATTCGCTGTCTGGGCTGCGTGTAGAGGGGGCGAGGGCCCTGAGCTGATGCTGAGCCTTACCAGCCTGACTGTGCCAGGATCACCGAACCCTCTCTGCTGCATTTATCATCTTTAATCTGTAAAACATAATAATAATGTTTTCTGCTGAAGCCGGTAGCTGAACTGTGCTTAAAATACTACTTACAGTAGACATGGGAATCCTTCACCGGTAGGGTTTTTACATCACTTCTAAGTTCCTTCGATTTCCTTCCAATGATTACACGAACTACCGTATGCTTTCAACGAAACAGCAGACGACACTTTTGATGACGTCACGTGAAAGAGACGCGACAAAATGGACGCCATGGCAAATTTGAAGTGATCGTAAAAAAGTGACCGTTATAAACCGTTGTGAATCGTTATTCGTACGAATATAACTTGAACGGCACTGTATCTTAAGTCGTGATGTAACTAGCATTTTGACCATATCTCCCAAATCCAGAGGTACGATTTGAAAGATATTTCCATCGCAACAAATTTTAATGACATATTGGTCGTAAGGCACACACAATTCAGAAAACGATAAAGACCTTTTAACTTGACAGTTGTTCATAAGTAGGGTATCTTAAGTGGTCAATTCCATGAACCTTTTTTTTCTGAGATTTAGATTTAAGACCAACGCTTAGTCTCTCAAAGTAGGCAATTTTAATTTAAACGAACTATTCCATCAAAATTTAAAATATCATCGGTGGGATCGGAGATAAGGAAGCTGAGAAGTATCTAGACTTGCTTCATTAAGGGATTGGGGCGGTGGGGTAGCCTAGTGGTTAAAGCGTTGGCTCGTCACGCCGAAGACCCGGGTTCGAATCCCCACATGGGTACAATGTGTGAAGCCCATTTCTGGTGTCCCCCGCCGTGATGTTGCTGGAATATTGCTAAAAGCGGCGTAAAACCAAACTCAGTCAGTCAGTCATTAAGGGATTGTTGCATCACTGGACTGGACTGAAGATAAAACATCTGGATCAAAGTCTGTGAGCCAGACTTGTAAGATGTTTATTATACTGATGAGTTTTGCATTGTTTTCCTAGGGTGCTGATGCAATCTACAACGCAACAGTCAGCTACTCTCCTGTTCTGGACCCGTATTTACTCACCGATGTCATACGTATTTCCCCAGTCACTTGGGAGAAGGCCCCATGCTTCAGAATGGAGATAATTGGCTGTGACCCAGATGGTGAATATATTTTCAATGCAAATGAAAGCGACAAGCCCTCTCCATTTAAAAGTCTTTTGAACGAGTTCGACTATGTCACAATTATGTGTTCACTGACCACTGTTAGTGATGATACGAGGCTTTGGGGAAAAGGGTACACGCGTTACAAATACATACCAAGGCAAGTCAATTATCCACTTGAACATAGGTTGTATAGGAACAGACGTTTAAGGTATAAAAAAGGGAATGACACGAAACATACTTTTTGTCACTGATGCAGCCAATTTGGAAATGCCATGCACTTGTTTGCCATTGAATATTTTGAAAGCTCCACTGAAACATTGTAACCCAGATCAAAACATCTTTTGAGCGAGACCCAATGACGGTCTGTGCAATCGTCATGGAAAGAGCCTGCTCTGTTGTTCGCCAGTGTTGTGGCACCCAAGCCTGGATCAGCTCTAATACTTCATGACATAAAGTTGAGTGTATGTTGTTGAGTGAGTGAGTGAGTTGACATTTAACGTCACATAGGCAATATCTCTGCCATATCGTGACGAAAACAATTTATACAATAAACAGTGGAAACATTTTGAGGATTAAAACCTGTCGACGATTGACAGTAAAACTACTAGGGAATCACATATATATATATAAAACTAGCGAGCAGAGCTAAAACATTCCAATTAAAGAAGATAATACAGTATAATACACGGGCTATAGATCGCCAACAACTGAAGGTAGATCACCATACTAAGGACCATGGGGACTTACAGTACCTTTGCTACCTACATGGACCCTAGCTGGATTTACATCATCCCTTCAGCAGCCAGCCATTGTAGTCAAAATTTAGCCATAATTAAAATCACAAAAATGCAACGCTTAAAATCCTGGTAAGTTTGAAAATTACTTTGAGTGTTTTAGGACGTACGTACCCTCTCAGGAGGACAATAATTTTACAGTACTTTAACTCCCTTGAGGGTACAGCTACTAACAATCTGAGTTATAAATTTAAACTTCCAAACATAAAATATTTATCTATTTACAAATCAGTTAACAAATCTAATTCCTTTAAAAATGCAATAATTAAATGAGAACTTATATTATTAAAAAGATCCTTCATAGTTCGTGATTTGAAATAGTTATTCCTTGTGATTGAATATTCGACACAGTCAAGCAAGATATGCTTAATCGTGATTCTTTCATCACAAGGGATGCAAAACGGAGGATCTTCGCCTTTTAACAAATATTCATGAGTATAAGGCCAATAATCTGGACTGACAACCCAAATAGGTGTAAGAAATATATGGTTTTATTTCATGTAATTTGTTAATACCTACTTGGGTGTCCCACTTCTTTTGCATCAGATCACGGATGTAGGTTCTAATGCTAGCTTTGTAATCAGAGTATTGTATGTTGTTGAAGTCATCCCGCTTGTCATACAGTTCCTTTGATATTCTAATCTACCCTGACTTCAGTAAATACTGGCTTGTGATTGCTTAATCAAAGTCTTTCAGAGGTATATAATTCCGTTATATACCTCTGATTTTCAAACACAGTATGATTTTTTTAAATCATAATAACGCGGTTGTGGTGGAATGGAGATAGCTCTACGCGTTCGGTTTTAAATAAAATTTAGAGCTATTATAATTTCGTTGTATACCTCTGATGTTACAACACAGTATGTTTAACTGCATATTGTTAGGCTGAATCTTTCTGCATGGAACTTACTATGACAATGAAGGGGTGGTTTCCTATATTTTAGGTGGATAGATTATTATTTTCCTGGCAGGAATATGCTGTTTGAGAATTATTGACAATATCAGATCATCGATATAGGTGATGTTCAGTTTTATGTTCTTGTTTAAAAATTCCAGTTAATGTGCATAGTGGGACACATCCGCAAGACGAAGAGGAGCACACTTCGTGATTCTTCCTTGCCTATGGGTTCTTTGCCAATAACACACACGCACACACACGCACGCATACACACACGCGCACGCACGAAGGCACATTCTCGCATCACTTCTTTTCAAAACAATAGTCAAAATGTTTCATTTGGAACACATTTATTAAACTCCAAACTCAAACTGATAGGATCAATAGTACTGTTTAATACTTGCCTTCACTTCCTATAGTTGGGAAGCAGTGTAATGTAGCGTCGAGTGGTTATAGTGTTCAAGTCTCAACATGGGTACAAAATATTACTATCATGGTTGGAGTGCCTAACCGTGATATTGTTGGACTATTGAAAATTAGCAACTAAGACGAAAGTTTCTATATCATCACCTGAAGTCACGTACCTTTGCAGTGGTTTGTCAGAACAGGGGTCTTTGTGTGGGCATTGTTTCTGTTGTGTGTATGTTACAGTCAATGTCTACAATCAGGCAATGTGCACAATGACTGAAACAACCAGTCAATGTGTATATTGCCTGATTCTATCAGTCATTGTGTACATTGTCTACCATTCCCAGGCATTGTGTACATCGAACAGAACGAAACCCATGCTAATCTTGTCTTCTCAATAATCCCTGTTCAACTATCAGTCAATCTGTACCATAATTGGGTTAATTAATCAGGCAATGTACACAATGCCTGGAAAGTTTAGACATTGACTGTAACATGTACAACATTCATTCTTAACGGTTCCGTTTCCTTACAAGGATCTACTCAAACATGAAAAATGTATCTATCAGTTAATATGTTAAAAAATAAACAAATAATTACCACTCTTCCATGTTGTTTTGTGTGTCGTGTTTCAGAGGGTCCGGCAGGAGCTGTTCTTCCCGATTCAAATGTACTTGGCAGGAAAAGAAGAGAAATTAGGTACAGCCTAAAGAGACCACCTGCACACTGAGACACGTTGTCATGTGAAAAGCACTTGGCAAAGACAAGATGATCCGTCAATAGCCTGTTATGCTTTGATAAGCTCCATCTAATCAAATTCACGAAAATATATTGTAGTTGATGGCAATGTATAACATTTATGTTACACAACATTTGATGATGACGCTATAGACGCTCTGAGTGTACATTTCATCAATATTGTTATAGGCAACAAAATGAAATAAATGTTGACAGAATTTGGAATGTGTTAAATCCTTTTTGCATGTGGCTGATCACAACCGTCATGCAAACACTGTACCAGAATATGCAATACTTGTCTTAATTTCAAACAGTCGCATTGTGGACGATGCCAACAGTGATTACACTGGTGTCTGCAAGACTTTTCTTTCCAATGAGTATTGGCTACTTGTGCGCCAAAATACTTAAGTTTCCAGTGATAATTCTGTGTTATTTTCTCGTGTACGTGTACGTAATGTAGCCAAGATACAATGTAATTTAAACGAAATGTTTGGTACCTTTGATACTTTCGTTGGCGTTTTTTTCCCAGTCGTGGTAGATATTCTGGAGGGCTAGCAGTTTGTATACGGTATTCATTGTCGCATTTTTTCCAATGAGTCTTCAACCGACATATGTTTCACTCTAAAGGATAAGTTGTCTCCTTTTACCATCTCGCTGGTGTTTCTTTTACATATACAGTTCTTCGTGAAGAAAATGGTGTTGAGTATTTAGAACAACTGCTGATGCACCTCATTCATGACTACGGGGAAACACGTAAATCTATCATATGTGGTGACTTTAATGGTAGAACTGGGTGTAAACAGGTCTGTATTTTAAATGATGGTGTTGGTTATTTACCAACGGGTGATTTTAGTTGTGTCAGAAGGTCATCTGACACAAATGTGAACAACTTTAGTTGAAGTGAGTGAGTGAGATTTTAAGTCACATCGGCAATATTTCAGCCATATCGTGACTAAAAACAAGTTATAATTTCATAATAAAAACAGGTAAATTATAAAACCCTGTCAACGAAGGACAGTAAAATAACTAATTTTATCACAGATTTCACTTTAAAACTAGTAATGAACTATAAAACATACATGTATATATGAAGTTTTTGAAATGCATTTAGAAGTTGGACGAACATGAATACATGACACTTTTATGGATAACAACTTCTTTTTTATTCTTTACACGACGTTTCAGAGCTAATTCTTACTCCTTTATCAGGTGAAGGAGCAAGAATAAGCTCTGGAACGTCGTGTAAAGAATAAAAAAGAAGTTGTTATCCATAAAAGTGTCATGTATTCACTGTATATATGACAATACAATATAAAAACAGGTAATAGATTGCCAACTGCTGAAGGTAGATCACCATACGAGGGACCATGGGACTTTAGTTGAACTTTAGTTTGGACTTCCGTGATCTATGTGGGGTATTTATTCTCAATGGAGATCCAAAATATATAATTATGGTGATTTTACCTTTATCTCCAGCACCTGATTCAGTAGTGTTGATTATTGCATTGTGCCTACCGAGTTGTTTCCAACTATTTTAGATATGCGAGTTACACAGTACACAGAGTCGGATCATTTACCGATAGTGTGTAGCAGAGTCGTGCAAAAAGTATTCGTATTTCCATAAACTGAAATGTTAATTTGGTATAGCATAAATAATTTTCATGAATTTAATTTTTGTAAGATCCAAGTCACATTTTGCGCACTTGTGAGGCACCATCTTACCTACAATCACATAATTTCTGTTTAATTTTCCTTTGCTTATTTATCGAATGGCACCAATTTAATCAACAGTGTACAGTGCCGTAAACTACTTTAATAAGGCGGCCTATGAGATTGTGCATTGTGGAACCATACATAAGTTGATAAATGTGATGTGATTAGTGAAATAGTGGACGGAAAATTGAACGGAAATTATGTGCGCAGAGCAGAGATGATTTCAAATTTGCCTGTCAAATTTTACAAAGATCCATCCCAAACTCACTTCATGAAACTTATTTATGCTACACTGAAATAGCATGTAAGAATATGGAAATCACGTCAAGTGTCCGAATACGTTTTGCAGGGGTCTGGGGTCCAACACTAAATTCCCTTTCACTGACCTTAAACCTGCTATTCGACAATATGTAACAGATCACTGGCAGCAGGGTTGGATTGATAAGCTTCGAATAAGCTTCATTCCATTAATCCAAATATTGGACGGAATCCATTCACTGGAATAAATCGTCAAGATGAGGTTGTGATTGTGATACAATGTGTTTAATTCGCAATGGGGCCACATGCCCATGATACAGATATTGCATTACAGGTATGTGTGACATACAAAGAGCTTGAAATAATGGCTAACAATTATAACAATGTACGCTTACAAGAATAACAACGTTTCCAAAATACATGTATTAGAAATCTTATCTAAGAGGGACATCTTTAGAGAACATTTGTCTTTTCAAGGCTGCTAAAAAAGGAATTTACAGACATTTTTAAGATTACACCTTTGAGAAAAAAATCATGCTCGCATCTTGTCCGAAGTTGGATATTCACAGTAATATTTTGGAAGAAGTGTATATCTTAAATTATGATAAAATGGGCCCTTTAAACAAAAATGGTACTCGGATTCAATGCTCGGGACAATACAGAATTGACACAATCTTTCTGATGTAGGAATATTCCACTAATAGTCCATGATGTGAATTAATAAAATCGATGTGAACAACAAAATCGGATGAAATTAGTAATAAAAACTGTTCCTGTTACAGTTTCAAGTTTATTTGAGTAACTAAACTGATTATTAAGAGTTCTATAGAAATCCAACTTCGCTAAAGGCTCTTAATCTGCACTCCAGTATTGCTGCTAAATATCGATACATCTTTCCTTAGAGAAATAAATAGAACACTATTTCCTATACCTTGTTGTAGCCATACATCACCCAAACCATAACGGAATGATTGAACGTTTAAAGAGAGCCACTCAACCAAACCCTTTCACATGAGCGTAATTTATCGCCGTTGCGAAAGACCACAACTTTACTCCAGCAATATTGATTGAGAGATCCATTTATGACAAATTTCTGATTGTAAATTTAACCATTTTTGCAAACCAACGGTACTTATATCCGTAACTGCAATGTCGCTGGCAATGAGGTTGTGATTACACGATGTCGTATACACATTCCTCTTTACTGATATTCTAGTTCTTTGTAATATGCTTTGTTGACAGGGTTTTATAATTTAACTCTATGTATTATGAATGTATAACTTGTTATAGTCACGATATGGCTGAATCTCACTCACTCACTGACACTCGCTCACGAATCAGGCACCAATCGCTAGCGCAAAATGTCAGCCGTCTAACCAACTCAGCCAACGCAGTTTCCGCAAGATGGAATTCGGTCAAATGGTAGTTTAGACTACGGACTTTGTGCACCCTTCTGATAAGAATAAATTGGCATGGCTCTCAATTACGGCTCCCTACTGAGAAAGTGTAATACCAAATATAACATGTGTGACTTTTGACCACTGAATAGCATTGTGTAGTCATAGCTTTTGGTCGTGCCGTGCCAATTTACACTTTGGTCCAGACTACCAGTTGTCCGACTTCCATTTTATAGAATCAGAGGTGGCTGAGAGGGTTAGATGGGTGACTAATTAGTCTTGATTAACTGCTGAAACAGTTCGTGACAATATTATGAAAAGATCAGAGACAATCAGTTAGTGCAGAATGTGTTCGCGAAAAGAGAAACATAAATGCACAACAAATATCTTTATCACTTCTTTAACACAAAGGCATGTTTTATATATACTGAACATCATTGAAAACGCACCAGTCTAAAATTGTCCATATTTTCATCAAGATGGATTTCAGCATGACAATGATTAATGAATATAACTAACATGAAGTCGAAGGGCATGTCCAGTTGAAAAAAGTGCTTTAGAAACAAATTCCTGTCCACAGTATGACTCTTAATTCCAAAATGCATCAACATGCAGGCACGCCACGAAAAAAGCGCGTTTTGTACTCTTGAATGTGATACTTAACTTATATATTAGTGATTTTCAACATTATTTCTTTCAGTGTATTGTAAAACGAAAGACATTTCCCGTACGTAGTACTGTACGTCCTATGGTCCCTAGTATGGTGATCTATTTTAACTTGTTGCAATGTCTAGACTGTTATTATATTGACTTCGATAGTTAAAATGTTTTAGATGTTTATACAAGTTTTACATTTGTATCAGTGATATTCTAGTTCTTTGAACTGTGCTTTGATGGCAGGGTTATATAATTCAACTTTATGTATTATGAATATATAACTTGTTTTAGTATTGATATGGCTGAATCTTACACTCACTGACACTTGCTCACGAGTCAGGCACCTTATCGCCAGCATAAAATCTCAGCCGTCTAACCCACTCCAGCCATCGCTTTTCCGAAAGATGGAAGTGGGTCGAATGGTAGTTTAGACCACGGACTGTGTGCACTCTTCTGATAAGTGTAAATTGGCACTGCTCCCAATTTCGGCTCCCATACTGGAAAAGTGTAACCCGAAATATAACGTGTGACTTTTGGCCACTTTCTGAATGGCATTGTGTATTCATAGTTTTCGGTCATGCCGTGCCAATTTACACTTGGTCTAGTTTACCAGTTGTCCGACTTCTATTTCTATGGAAGCCGAGGTGGCTGAGTGGGTTAGACGGATGACTAATCAGCCTTGATTAACCGCTGAAACAGCAGTGACAATATTATGAATAGATCAGAGAAAATAAGTGAGGGCACAATGTGTTCGCGAAAAGAAAAGTATAAATGCACAGCAAATACCTTTATCACTTATTTAACACAAAGGCACGTTTTCTATATTTTGTCCTTCAGGTGAAACGAATGGTGCCTGCTGTCTTGCTGCCAACGATACCAAGCTTTGTTAGGAGGTACGACATTCCAAGCCCCACCTGGTGGCCATTCTAATGTACATTCAACAGCCGAATGTACAACACTACTCGGAGCTGCCAATTACTTTCATTCAGACCTTCACCTTGCAGTATCACAACGTCTACAATGGCACCATGGAAAGTACATGGTGACATGGTGGTAGGATGTCTTTATGAGAAATGTGTACCAGATATTGATAAAACCTAGGCAGTTTAATGGGCATGTCATCTTGTAGAAGAATGCGAGATCCACAGGTGTTGTATTGTGAGTTTGAAGTTGGTGGTTTTAAATTCAGGACTGA